CAACAGACCTCAGATGAGCCCAGACGCTCTGCGGCTCTTATTAGTATGTGAATGAATAAGGGCTGGCCCCAAAACGTATTACAGGGGTTTGGATATTTAAAAAAAAATTATGCAAATTAGGTAGGTTTTGGCAATTGTATAGCATATTATATAGACACGCAGATAACAGTCTGCGGTGTCACACTCATCTGGTTCGTTTTACAAGATTTCATTGACAATATCTTTAATGCAAAATTGGTATTTCCTTTCCACCTTTCCGATAAAACGTCTATATTAGAGTAAAGTTTTACAAAACATGTCGGAACACAGCATAACCTATTTATTTCAAACGTCATCGCTAAGAAACATCAAAGCGGGTATAGCGCCATCGGGGTGCACTTGTTACCATTCACTCATTTGTGCCCTTTTTGTGGTGAGCTACAGTGTCATTGACACTTTCATTTTATTGAAGTTTGGAAAGGTTAGTGAACTCATGTTTGTTTTTAGAAATAATACTGTTAAGGAGATAACCCGTACTTGTAATGATTGAACATACTACGTATGAGTTTTGTAGTGATTCTATGAACAATATAACCTGCACATGAATGGTCAAACTAATGTACTGAGAAAGGAAATATTTGTGGCTTTTACACGTTGTATTAGTGTAATGCGGCTCGTGTCGTATAGTGTACAGGTTCGTAACTGTTGGCGCGTGTAAGAGGTTACCATTAGATAGCAGGATTAGTAGAGAGAACGTAGATATGTATGACAGCAACAAGATGTAATGTGCAACGCTAGTTCTATTTTCCTTTACCAACAAACTATATTTACTATAATCCCTCTAGGGGGCAAATGTCGCGTTCAAGTTCGTCGCCTTAACTAGACGGTAACACATACACAATTCAAATACAACAGAGTTTTGCAGTTCAAAGTAGTACACAGACTCAAGGTAGACTCAAAGTAGTTTACAGACACATATCATACAAGCAAACAAGTCAATGCAGAGACCAAAACCATACTCACAATCTAGCGAAGGCGACTCTCGACTTTCTGTTCTAAAACGTCCCTTTTTATTCTACTTTCACTCTAATTAACCTGGCTATACCACGTGATCTAAGTATGTCACGCGTTGGTCAGACCGTCCACTTTCTTTAACTTTCGAGAGGGAGGGGGGCGAGATTACTGTTCTACTTTAGTGTGCTGCCTTGGCGTTAATAGTCCCGCAAGAGTGATTTGTCAACCAGAGGCCAGTTCTGTCACAGAATCTGTGACTTCTGTATGAAGTCAAGTGTATGGTAGAATTTCTTATGAATAAGCATGGCTGAATTTGCTTCATTACATTAGATATAGCACGGGATTGCAATTTCAATGCACTCTTGTTTTACGAATGCTCGCATTTTTTGGAGCAAGTATTTGCACAAGATACAAGGTAACACATTAGATACTGCTGTACTGTTTACTCATTCTGCCTTGAAATTTGAGTTGCCTACTTAACTTTGTTACTAAGCACTGTTTTTAGAATGTCACCATCGCAACAATCACTTGTCAATCACTGTGGGTCTAGAGAGTTTATTAGTATAGTAGTCTACTAGTACTAGAGGTCATCGTGAGGTGGCCCCAGCAGGCCAGATCGAGTAGATAGAGAAGTAGATGCATGCCTCCGTGCTTGCTAACCGTTGCTTTACGTGTCTTCTTTCTAGGAAGGCACGCCGTTAGCGTGGGTGAACACGACCGTCATGGACTACCTAGCGCGACTCAGGACCGGCTCCCTCGTCATCAAGATGTGGAAGTATCCCCAGGACACCGATCAGGAAGAGTACCTGCAACCCCTCGGTATGACTTCTCCTGCTTACCTGTCTGCCTGGCTTCCTGGCTCCTCAGCTGTCTACTGGCTGCCTACCCACCTGCCTGCCTGTCTACCTGCCTGTCTGTCTGGCTGTCTACCTGCCTGCCTGCCTACCCACCTGCCTGCCTGTCTGTCTGGCTGTCTGTCTGCCTGTCTGCCTGCCTGCCTACCCACCTGCCTGCTTGTCTATCTGTCTGTCTGTCTGCCTGTCTGCCTGCCTGCCTACCCACCTGCCTGCTTGTCT